TTTTGAAATATTTATTAAATATTCCGTTTATTCCAATTCATGCTTTATTCCCATTATATACTACTTACATTTAACAACAGAACTTCAGTTCCATAGTGAAAAAGTCAAGTAAATCAAGCTTCATGTTTTCATACCCTTTGTCTAAATAGAGGAGTGTACAATACGCTTTCTCACACTCCTGCAGTCTTTAGTAACCAGCAGAAGAGCAATGTTGTTTGCACACCCCCTGCCTGACATAAAACTGAATTGCAGCCCCCAAAGTTTGCTTTGCTCTTTTTCCTTTTCCCAAATGGAATTCTGCCAGGTGAACTTTACCAAATACTGCAGGCCTTCTGTAGTTTTTGTATTCACTCTCACTACTTTTCTGTTTGCCTACAGAAACAATTACAGCAATTTTCCAATGAGCAAGCACAGCGGCAAGCTTCACGTTAAAGAAATTGCACAGCCGCTCCATAAATAAACTACATCCATATTTCAATGTTTCTCTAGTTATACCATCTGCACTTTTTACTAACATCTTCATACATAAACATTGTTTATTGATTCCTTTCATACCATATTAAAGACAACAACTTGGTTTTTGTTATCTGTCTCCAGGTTCACAGGCAATTTCAGTTTGCCTGCTTTGTCTAATATCTACTTCAGCAGCGTATATGTAAGGATATCAAATTATTTGTGCTCTACAACATGCACAAACCTCCATTGCTACTGCTGAACAGTTTATGTAAACATTGCTTAAGTCAAAACTCAAGCAAGCACCATAACCCCTATAGGTGTGTTCAGGAATTAGATTGTTACAGGTAGTCCTTGACTTACCTTCTTTTATTGAGTGTTCAAGTTACAACAGCACTGAAAAAGTGATTATGACTGTTCCTCACTCTTATGACCATTGCTACATTCCCACAGTCACACGAGCAAAATTCAGGTGCTTGGCAACTGGCATATATTCACAACAGTTGTAGCATCTTGGGGTCATGAGATCATCATTTGTGACCTTCCCAGTTGGCTTCTGACAAGCATAGTCAATGGGAAAGCTGAATTCACTTAACAACTGTGCAATTCATTTAACGACCATGGCAAAAAGGTTGTAAAATCAGGTGATGCTTCACTTAACAATTGCCTTGCTTAGCAATGGAAATTCTGATCTCAGTTGTAATTGTAAGTCGAGGGCTACCTGAAAAAGGTCAAAGACAACAAGCTCAGGGAATATAGTCAGTGAAACACTAATGCCAGGCCTGTGTGGATGTTTTTCATTTGATTCACAAACCTCTCTCTCTCTCTCTCTCTCTCTCTCTCTCTCTCTCTCTCTCTCTCTCTCTCTCTCTCTCTCCTGCCTCAGGCAATTTTAGTGTGTTCAAGTGGAAGCTAGATAGTTTTCTATTTTAACAGCTATTTCTTCATTCAGCAGAATAGAATGGAGTCAGTGGCTTAAATCCAATTCAATCCAGTCCAATCCAATCCCACCTCTGTGATTTCTCCAATTCCAATTCCAATTTCATCATTTTGTCCTTTCTTAAAGCTCTCATGACAGAAGGCTTTCCCAGATACTGTGGGCAAGAAGGCCAAATGTTGTCCTAGTGATGCATCTCAAGGTCTCCCATTCTTCTACTTCCAGCTTCTGGTTATTTAAGGAGAGAATTTATGGCTAGGCTTAGTTTTTGCCTTGAAATGGTAGAGTTCTAAGGAAAATGCATGGAATCTTTTTTACAAGCAAGGATCAGGGGGTCAGGTGGGCACAAGAGGAACTATAATACTATAGTTGTACTCTGCCTATTTTTGAATCATCATTTAGCTATAAACTCCACTGCTTTCAGGGTCATTTTATTTCACACAAAGTTATGTGTGTGAAATAAATTATCCCAGATTTGGCTGCTCAAATTTTATATAAAATAAATACAGCACAGTTCCAGAATGTGACAAAATTCAAACCCTCTAAAAATATTAAGATGCTTTAATTATCAATTAAAAGCTGCTTGATGAACATTATGCTTCTTGAAAGTATGGCTGATGTTCACTTTCAGTCAATGATGTCAGAACCTTTTCAGTACAGATTAGCATTTGAGTGCAACATCACCAGGAAATTCTGGGCTACAGGCAATAATGGAAAGTTGGATATATATAAAAAAATCTGGAACAAATTCTATACAGCATTGGATGTGCCCATATAGACACCAAGAATCAGATTCATCTCAGAAGAAACTTTACCTTTAATGTCTGAATCAGTAACTTCCATTTCAATGGGTTATTTATTTAATATAAGGCATATCATACATGGACTTGCAATATTAGTCAATTCAGAAATATGCAGATTTATACCACACATGTTAAGGATGCTGGCAGCTACAAGGTGATCCTCACATCCTGCATATGCATAAAAGTCAACTTCATGCTTTATTCAGTACACATAAACACCAAGCAGAGCTTCAATTGCACCCTTGCAACTTCCTTCTTGATTTCTTTTTATCATACCCTGTAAATGTTCCTGGCCCTCAGGGGTGCCACAGAACCAGGGAGTCCTGTTTCCTCATTTATTTCATATATCCCTCAAGCAGGGATATAGGAATGCCGCTTCTGCAACTGACATGGCAACTTCCTTTCCATCCTTAACCAATGTCTGTGGAAGGAAGGTAAAAGAACATGCCCTCTTCTCTATATCTGCATTGGACACTGCTCCACTTAGTCTCTCTGATCACTGTTCTCCCAAATCTCTGTAGCATCCATTGCTGTACAAGTTTAAAACCAAATACAGTTTCTACTCAGCAGCTCATGATTTAAAAGATAGGACATGAAAGGCAAAAAGGGAGTCAAAGAGACCCTACAAAGCTAAGATAGCTTATTGCTCTATGAGAAAAACAGCAATATACTTCAAGGCTTTTTAAGAGGGCAATGGCTGGAATTTGGTAAGATTTAGATGCTGGCAGTCTCTCCAGTTTTAAAATAGATAAGCTGAGGAGTGAGTTGGCAGGATTTAATGTCAAACGATTGTTGGGCTGTCTTGAAGATAACCTGATTTCTGTAAGGAGAGTTAACAAGGCAGCTGTTATCCAACCGCAAATTCTCTCCTAGAGAGCTTTAGCTGAATGATCTTGCTTGCTTGATTTGCTTATAGCTTTCCTCTGTGGACATCAATCTGTCAGAATGAAAGTTGGTAAACTTTGGGTCTAGAAGTCAAGAGGACTTCTTACTAAATCTACATAAATATGCCAATATATTCAAGGTTATGCCTCTTTTTACACACTTTCTTCAATAATATTCTATGTTTTCTCATTATTTTATGAGGTACAAGTTGCCATCTTATTTAGGGATAAAAACAACTGAGCTGGATATTAAGGAGTTGATGGTTAGAGGCAACATGCTGCAGAGCAGTTTCTCAGCCTTGGCATTTTTAAGATGTGTGGATTTCAATTCCCAGAATTCCCCTATCCACACATTTTAAAGGTGCCAAGGTTTAGAAACACTGCCCTAGAGATGCATTTCAGCTATTTTCTTACATATTAAATACATGCATAAAGTTATCAGTACTCTCACTCTTATCTCCTTGCCAAAAAAAACCAACCCCCACAGGGAAGCATTTTTCACGAATGAAGGCAAATATACGTGTCCCAGAAATCCAGTCTGGGTCAGCCACTGGGACCAGAGGTTTTTGTCTTCTGACCTTTCAAACTCAAGCTAGAACTCATCTTCAGGGAACTTCTCTCTAGCAGAGTGTGTGCTTGTTCTCTGTGTGGCATTTATATGGTGCCTGTTATATATGGCTTTTTAGATGGTGATTGGGGTGTTGATGGATGGCTAGTAAGTCGTTGGCTGTCATTTGCTTGTGTTGCCCAGTCCTTGCCTTCTAAGTACTTGATAAGCTGCTGGTAAATCAACACTCCTGTTGATTGATAAGCAGCTGTTTTCCACACTTCAATCACTTCCCTGGCTGTTTTTGTACCTGCTCACCCAACAATCTTAATCATCTAAAAAGCCACATACACAGAGCAGCACACACTCTGCTAGAGAGAAATTCCCTGAAGATGGGCTCCCAGCATGAGTCCAAAAGCTCAAAAGACAAAACCCCTGGTCCCAGTTGGATCCTGCAAGCATTTTTTAAATCCATTTTAAAATAAAGTTAATAATGTATGGTAGTCTGTTGTAGGTGGCAGTGTGAAAGTTTATAACTTGTGTTCAGTCCTTCAGCTCTTTCACTTCTCCCTTTTATCCTTCTCACTCTAGCCACTTTAAAAAAAAATCCATTTTTTTCTGCTGCTTGTTTTGGGGCTGAATAAAGCTCCTTTACTGCATACAGTGTTCTTTCTGTTAGATTGTTGCAAACCGTACATATTTTTACATAATACAGTATTATACACACAATAGTCATATTACACACACTTCATTGATTTTTAAAAAAACAGGACTGCTCCACAAGGCAGCACTATATCAGCCCCAGAAAAGGCTAACCTTGCTAAAGAGCCACATCAACAAATGTGTCCATCCAGGAAAACAAATGGTGAGAAGATCGTGGATTCTTCCATCTTTCTTTTTTTCTTAAAAATTCTGAATATTTTTCGGGTTAAGGTAGGACACTGTCCACCTTGATCAATAAATAATAAAGGCACTCTTGGTTGATTTATGTATCCTGGAAGTTTTGCTGGACTCTGAGCCTATCCAGCAATATGGTTACCCTGAGTTTAAACCAGATCATCAAGTTAGAAGGAAATAGTATTTGGATGGAGCACTAATAAAAAATTCCAGAGAAGTTTAAAAATATCGAGGAAGAAGGCAATGACAAACCACTTTTGTATTGTTGCCAAATCAGTGGAATGGATCTATCCGTGTGACCACCAGGAGTTAAGATTTAGTTGAAGTTCTTTTTACCTTTTATAGGAGTAGGATTTCTGTGTCAGGGAGTTGTAATGGGGCTCTTAAAGAGTTATGCTCTTTATGAATATTCCCTATTGTATCATTCACTGCTTGAAAAAGTCTTTGTTCTCAATTCAAACCACTTATGAAAACTGCAAAACATTCTTAACATCATAGTATTTATTAGCTTCTGAAACAATACACATTCACATACTTGAGAATACAGTACATTTGGCACAGTAATAATGGCTACAGTGAAATAACCCTAATGAATGGCAAGAGATTTAAATTACAACTGTAGGAAAAAGTTTGTACAAAAAAATCTCACAAATAAAGAAACAAAACAAAACAAAAACAAAATACTACCTGGTCCTGTAGCACTCAGTAAATTTCATATTTTTTTTAAAGCCTTTCCAGAGAGACAGCATTAGTTTTATTGTAGAGAGAGAGGCAATACTATCCCCATGGACAGTGACTTCAAAAAAACAAAGCAAGAAAAAGTGGTCTGTTGTGATTTCTTCCCATTTTTTCATTTGGCATTTTGCACATTTTTTACGTATCCTTCTCCCATCACTTCAGAAGGATAAGGAAAAAACTTTACAAAAGGAAAAAACTTTTAATCACCTGCTAATTTTTTTGAAAATTTGAGGAAAATGAGGAAGTTGCTAAATGGACCATTTCAGGAACAGAACTCACCTATATGCTGATGGCAGCAAGAGGTTTTGCACGCAACCAAACTGCTTCAGTTCTGTTGGCTTTCAGTTCAGTTGGTGTCATGCATCCTCTTTAGTGGCCTTGCATGCTGATAGATTCACCCATTTCCATAAAAAAAATAATCCGAACATTAACCCAGACAACTAAATATACATTCAGGTTCAGGTATCATGATACAGCCTGAGATATACTTGTTAGCCACATATCTGCCATGGGCAAAAGCCATCAAAGTTTAATTGCATGGGTTTCTGTTGCAGGATCAAGGTGGACTTCAGGATTACAGCTGAAATATCTTTGCATGCAAAAACATTAATTTTTCCCATTCAGCATCCTAAAGAGAGAAATGCAGGAACTGGGGCATTTCTTATTAGCATAAATGTTTCTCAGAAATTGTGCATGCCAGGAAAGGGAAGTCATATACTCCACAATTTTGCTTACAGAAGCTTTGTGGAATGCATGTTTCATTTTCTTATAAAGAACCACTAATCTCCATTTTGCATAAAGACCTTTGCATGCCATGCAAACAAGTGCGCTGGACAATCATTCTGCAGTTTAGCCAACCTACAAATAGTTTTGGGAGGCCTTTTGCAATCTCCAAAGTTTCCATTCATCTATAGAAAACACTACTTGGCTTTGTTCATTCTTGCACTGGATGTTCAAAGTTAACACCAGAAAAAAAAATATACAGAACAGATATGAAACTTCAAAAACTAAAGGACATTTTTACACTCTTTCCCTCTAAAATGAAAATACAATGAGATGATGTGTCCTTTGTGATATTTCTGTGCTTTCACTCTAGAAGCCAGAGGGTGAGGAGATGCAATTTATTCCCCCTGCCCCAGCCCCTTAGTTTTTATTAAAAATAAAATAAATTATTTAACAATGTTTGATACTTTATTACTTTGGTAAGCCAGACAACACATGACTTGGTGTAGCATATTTAATATTCTGAAATCCTCATATGAATACATACATATATGTATATATATTTATATATAATAATAATTACACCTGAGTTTTAAAAAAAAACACAACATAAGGAAATTAAATTTCTTTGTCAGCAAAAGTGGCTCTGAACAGCTGCACACAAAACTGATGTAACCTAATCTGTCCCTTTAAAAAGATGCCTTGCACCACCTTTTCAAGCTACTTTGAGGCCTGGGAATCACTCTATGTGGCTTCTTGCCACATTATGGGAAGTTACAGGCCACATGGGAGAAGCCCATGACAGGTGCTTTTTCTGGAAATTGGGGCATGGTGTCTATATGCTATGGATTGTATGCCCTGAGGCAATCCTGCTTTGGTTGGTGGGTTCCTCTGGACTCATCTGAAGGCACCAATCTGCTACAATTTGACCAATTTTATCCATGTATCAAATAGTTAAGTCTTGCTCTTTGTAATTTACCACATAATATTTTATATGACAGATTATCCTTGCTCAAACTGCTGACAAAGCATTTTTAAAAGGGGCTTCAGAGCAGGCTTCTGTAACTGTTCAGGGATACCCGGTTTGGATGCTGTTCCTGTCTACTAGCATGGAAGGTCACTTTTGATAGCCAGGAGGTTCTATGTTCTCTGAAGAAGAAACCTTTCTGCAACAATTTTCTTCTCATAGAGATCACATGAGATGGGGACATGTGCTGAAAGATGTGCTTTGGTCAATAATGGTCCCTTCTCTCCCCCTCTCCCCACTCTCTCTACCATTCCATATACAGTTTAAGAGAACTATACAGGAGAATCATTACAGCTTAATATAGGTTTACATCTGTCCTATAACAAAAAAAGGGAGGGAAATTCATCTTTGACAATAACTTGAACCAATACACAAATAGAGTATTGCACATGGACATAATCATAATTATTCTTTCATAGGCTAATTTTAATAATATGCCTGAACATGCAGCAATTGATACCTCTATATTCATTGAATTCCACAGGCCTTGCAATAAACATCTATATACAAATCCTCACTTGTACAGAGAGAGAGAGAAAGAGAGAGAGAGAGATCCTCACTTGTACAGAGAGAAAGAGAGAGAGAGAGAGAGAGAGAGAGAGAGAGAGAGAGTTGGGAAAATGCTTTATGACTGCCACTCTATCTCCCCATATCCAAAAGTCAGGCTCCATAGCCAATACACTTTAAGCACAGACAATATGCTTTATTAATTTTTTTTCAGAGAAAAAGGTCATATATTATAAATGACAGATGTTAAATGACTAAGGAAGAGAAGAAAATTACAACCAATTCAAACATTTTATGTAATTTTTATAATAAAGTGTCTATGGGGCTTCACTTTTGGTACACCCTGTATGTAAGTGTGCATGTACGTTTGTGTGTGTGTATATGAAAAATCCAAGTGCAACAAATAAAAAAGATTCCCTTAACTGCTCATTCAGTCTATATATATAGACTGATCTATACACACACACATGTATATATATGTGTATATATATATATATATATATATATATATATATATATATATATATGAATGATACATATATAAGCACGCATGTCCACGCTCACATATACAAAAATGCAGTATTCCCAGAAATATGAGTAAATAACACTATCAGCATATCTACAAGCAGTAACTTCACATTTCTTTCTTAATGTATTTTCCATATGAGTTACCAGTTTGTCATGATTACACAAGAAATCCATTTACAACCTTCAACAATGTCAGTTTTTGAATCTTGAACTTAGTCTCTCCATCCTTTTTCGTTTCATGAATGGCTTTGCTTTGCGGTATTCCTATTGACCAGAGTTATCATGTCAGCTTTTCACAACCAAACAGTAGTACTACTGGGCTGACCCACAGTACAGTAGTATGGCATTCCAGGATCTCCGTCTCCAACCCTCTGCTGTTGACCAGGGCCCCTTTACATGGGACCCCAGAAGAGGACAGAGGTAACTGGAGGTGAGCACTCAGCAAAGAGAAAGGGAGGACAGAGGCTATGTACAATGAAAGATGGGTCGTCCCATTTTTGTGTGTAAAAGCCTGCAAAAGTAACACACTGCTATTGAAATTAAAATTAAATAAGCAAAGCAGATAACCATTCAGGTTCAATACATGAAAAAGAGGCTCCCCCTCCTCCTTAAGTCTCCTTCACACCTGTCAATGCACCAGTGACATAAACGATTTAGGCACACGTTTTTAAACAGTTTTTACTATGGAAGGATTATCATGAATATGGCAAAGCAGCTGTAACAACTGTAGGAAACCTATGCTGCTTTATTAAAGCTAGTATAGGCTTTTGGAGAATTTGTCCATTCTTAGCCCTTTAAACACCTGTCTTTGTAGCATTTGTGTTAGTGATTTTTTTAAAAAAAATTAGTTATAATTTCTAAATAAAAACTCTTAAAAAGTCATGTATTCTTTAAAAAAATAGCTTTTTCCTGAAATGTTTTCCATAGCATTTATTATTTTAATCACAATGCTTTCAGTCAAGACTATTTGTTTTTTCAAGACCCACCCTTGCAACAAAACACTTTTTAAAATATACGTTTTTGGGTGAGGTGGAAAATCGTTTTGCCCCATTCACTGCAGTATCACCGCATGGCTTGTTAATGTTTTAGCAAGCTGCTCTACTATAAGTATGGATGAGACCCATAGAAAAGAGAGGAGTAGGATTTCTTCCTGTCAGTTACTTGCATTTCTAGAAAAAAAAAAAACAGTTGCAAGAAACAGATTTCAAGAAGAACATCATAGAGTTTCTAACTATGTTTTCAATGAGTGTTTGCTTAATAATAAGTTCCATCGTGTTTGAGGTTTACTTGTGGGTAAAAGTGGCACAGTTCAGCCTCACAATCATAATATGGAAGTCCTGCATAGCATACAATGGCTTTTTCATCCTAATGACACTCTCCTTCTAGGCTCCCATCAGAATTAAAAGGAAACAATCCCCAGCAATTGACTGCCTTATTCCTGGGCAGCCATCAACTCAGAAGCTTAGAGCAGCCCTTGCCTCACTAAACCCTGGTTCTGACTATGGACAGTGTAAAACCAAGAAGCAGCTAAAGGAAGAGTTGGCCTTGGTGTATCCATCACTAGCATTTTCTCTGCAACTTTCCCATTTTCTCTGCATCTGATGCAGCTTAATTAACTCTGAAATAAGTCCATATATCATGGCAACTTCTGATTGCATGTGGAACACTGTCTTTTCCTTTGATCTGGTTGTGAAGCAGATTAGGGCAGATAATCTTGTTCACATCTTTGAATTCTGAGAATTCAAATAAAGAATTCTGTCGCTTCTAATCGCAAACAGAGCAGGAGTTTTCAATCGACCAAGGCAGTGTATTTTTTTTAATCCAAGTTCTGAAAAATTGTAGTGTATCAACATTTCAGTTACCTTTTCATTTAGCCTGGATGAAAGCCAGTCTGAGTTCAACTGAGATCTCAGATGCATGATAAGCTACCAAACAGAAACTGTTTTCAGTTGCTTTTGTGGATTTCAGCCTCTACACAGTGGACTAAACTACTTATGTGTACTAGAACTAAGTGAGTTTCTAGAATCTCTTTCCTCACCAGGTAAAGAGCAAGCAGTGTGGCAACAATGCCTTGTGACAGCAATTAATGAAGGTGTACATGACATTATACCTGGACCACCAATTAGGAGATATATTGACCTAGACAGATCTCAGCTCTCATATATTTAAAATGCTTGCCTTTCAAGGGTAAATGCTTCATTCAGTTTATTTTGAATATTGGAAATCTGGCATCTCCATTCTAAGCACATGAATTGAAAAGAAATGATTACGTTGGGTTGTATAAATTACTTGCATGATTAGCCCAAACATGTAGAACTTTTAGCCTAGAGTTGGAGCCAGACAAACTTAAAACACGCCTAATAAAGGAACTGAATTGAAATTAGCTGAGCAAGATGAAATCTGAATTATTTCAGTGAGTCTAAGGGGAAGAATATGGGGGGTTTGTTCCCCATCAGACTAAATAGAGTTGCTTATATCTACAGTAGAAACTACAATCCAAATTAGGATAACAGCAGGAGACAAAAAGTTAAAGCCCCCCCCCCCAATTTATTCTTGTTATGTTTTTAAAGCAATCTTGAGCCTAAAATTTTAAAATATGTAGTCCTAAGAGTGGAGAGGTGCCTACCACTTAACTTAGAGCAGCTGCTTTTTCCTCTTCAAATGGTTCCCAGAGGTTTTGCCTCTCCAGATAAGATTTAAAATCAGTGTTTATCTTCTAAGACATAGTTTTTCAATCTCAGCAACATTAAGATGATGTGGTCTTCAACTCCTGCATGCTGGCTGGGGAATTCTGGGAGTTGAAGTCTACACATTTTAAAGCCGCTGAGGTTGAAAAACACTCTTCTTTTTTGAGGAGAAGGTTAGATATTTTGAGGAGAAGATAACATTTGACAGATTAGGGGCATATTTCTCTTGCCTGACACTAAATGCAAAAACTTCAATTTCCTAAGATTGCATTCCATGCAACGTAACATGGAAAGAGCTGTCTATTGAGGAATTGAAGGTCACTCCAAATTTATCCATTTGAATGTTAAGGGTGCAAGCTTAACCATTCCTATTGACAATCTATTGAAATCAATGACAAAAGGGTTTTATGTTAAATCTCCCATGCTTCATAAGGCCCCGGGCAATCATCACAGAATGCAATGAGCTGATTCCAAGCTCAGTAAATCTTATGGCTGATTTATAGATTCATATCTGAGTTGAAAATAAGTCATAAAGAAGTATTCCTCTCTCTCCATAATAATATAACACATATACTTATCCCTCTAGCACAATGTGATGAGATACCTATTTATGGCATCTTGGAAAAAAGTTATCTAATCTTCACTACATACTCTAGACCATAATTTTAATCATTAAAAATGAAGCTAAAATTCCTAGTGATTTTTAAATGTTAAAAATGGTCGAACAAATTACTTTTGACAGTGCTAGGTGATTTTAAAAAAGACAAAGCCTTACTGAAAATAAAAGAAAGTGTGAATAGAAAGAGAGAAGGAGAGAATGAGACAGCAGCAAAAAATAACAGCAATGTGTTACCTTTACAGTTTCTAATACAAAATATTTTGCATTGCTCTGTAAAACAGCTATTATGAGTGCCTCCAGATCAAAGAAATATAACAATAAATAGACAGTAGAAAGTAATGGGTTTAGGCTCATGGTCAGAGAAGCAGTTCTTGATGGTGTAGCTGGAGGATTTTTCAGAACACAACTTGCAGCATCTGTGATCTGGCGGTTCCAATTTAGGGGTTGGGGGAAATATCTTATGGCAGCAGCTCTTCTCCAAAATATGAGAAGCCTTTAAATTCTTCTTGGTTGATTTGCTTTATAATTGTCTCATCCACCGGTGTTAATATTGGGTCTTCTCGTGTAAAGTCTTGATCAAAGTTATTTACATCCCTTTTGGTTTTCTGAGAAACAAAAGCAAAAGATGAAGAATGAGTGGTGTTCTTGCACCAACAATCAACTTTTTTTTTCTGGGATTTGAAAAGAGTGATAGTGTATTTGGCTTCTAAAGGAAGGCAGATTCATTTCATACACACAGATTTCTCTCTCTCTCCCCCCCTCTCTTTCTCTCTCTCTCTCTCTCTCTCTCTCTCTCTCTCTCACACACACACACACACACACACACTTCATACAGGAGAAGAAGTGAGGGTGCAGAAGCAAAAAATGGTCCTGGATAAGCCCAATAGCCTGTAACTGAGAAGTTGGAAGCAAAATGATGGTATACCAGATAACGTAAATTATACTATACTGCAATAATTTGGATAAATGAATCATGAATTCAGACAGATCTTGTCTGGAAATGGCATAATGGATTGATCACAAATATAGGGGTGAAGCATATGATCTGTATTTCTAATGATGAATCTAACATAAGGTAAGCAAAATCTCACAAATTCGCAGCTTTTGCATCTTTAGGATCTAGCAGTGATTATTTTTCACAGATATAGAATTTTCACAACCAACCTGTGGAAGATCCAACATCTACAGTCCTAATATGCTAGTGCCAGTTCTGATCGTGACGGCAGCTATTATATATAGAAGCACATATTTATGCTATTGCTGCCGATATATACCTCATCCCAGCCAAGAGCAAAATCCCAGTTCTAACCTAAAAGGAAAAGAGATGGATAGCCAGTTTTCCAAATATCTCCTTCTTGTTACAGTCCCTTTGCTATACCTGAGAAAAGCTTGTTATAAAACCAGACCTCAATCATTAATTTACTGAGTTTAGAAAATATGACAGATACCAGATAAATGTTTTACTCTGCTTTTACTCACATTCAGGCACACGGACCTCCTTCTCTTTGCTTATGAAGGCAAGCCATGGATTGTTTTCTGGAGTAGGCATGAGTCTGTGAAAGGGCCTAAGAAGTTATGGCTGGATCATTACAGATAGTCCTTGACTTATGACCACAACTGAGCCCAAAACCTCTGTTGTTGTGCAAAACAGTTGTTAAGTGAGTTTTGCCCCATTTTATGACCTTGCCACAGTTGACTTGCTTGTCAGAAGGTCGCAAAAGGTGATCACATGACCCTGGGACACTGCAACATCATAAATACATGCAAATTGCCAAGAATCCGAATTTTGATCATGTGGCCAAGGGGATGCTGCAACAGTTGTAAGTGCAATCACCAGTTGTGAGTCACTTTTTTTCAGTGCCATTGCAACTTTGAATGGTTACTAAACAAATAGTTCTAAGTTGAGGACTACTTGTATATTATGTCCACCTTTTGTCCACCACTAATCTCAAATGGTTTTCTATAATTACTGAAAGTAAAAAAGACATCATTTGATTAAAGTTTCCCAAGCAAGAAGAAATCACAGTGTTTTCATTATAGTTCAGTAGAGAATTAAGCACAGAAATATAATTAAAAAAACTGGAGTGTGCAATGTTTCCAAGGAAATTCTTCCCACAGAAACTTTCTTGCAACTATTAGCATTGTATATCCCACAAGTTGTAGGGAAATGAATGAATTTGCATGGACTTTGGAAGCCTGTACAAAACATGCATTGTCTCAGAGATTTTTGTACAACCTTCACGATAGTCTTCTTCAAAATGATGCTATTCAAATGTCTATGGAAATTCTCAGTCATCCAGGTCATGGTTGTCCCAAAGGTGCTTTTTCAAGAGGCAACTGGACTTTCTTGTTTTTCTTTGAAGATATTTCGCTTCTCATCCAAGAAGCTTCTTCAGCTCTGACTAGATGACTTCCCTCCAGTCAGAGCTGAAGAAGCTTATTGGACAAGAAGCGAAATGACTTCAAAGAAAAACAAGGTTGAGTCTAACGCTGCTGCTTTGTGCATTGTCTCAAGGCTCTACTTTCTTGCCATTTCTATTTACCATCTCCTTGAAGCTGCATGGGGTACAGTATCACCAGTATGCTGCTTTTACTGTTGTATATCTTTATGCTGGGTCAAACAAGTGTTGCAGCTAAGGTCCTTTCCCAATACCCACTCTTGCAGCTCCACTTGTGTGAGCAGCGGGCACTCATACTTGTGCATGAAGCTTCATTGGTGGGCGCATGTGGATGCTGCTTGTGTGGAGCTGCCTGTACTCATGTGCATGCCTGCCGCTCACATGGAACCATCCCCATCAAGCCAGAAAGGTGAGGGACTGTTAGGGGGCCTTATTCATAGTGACTCATACCTCAGTCACCTGCCATTTGGATGACTGTAATGTAGTCTATATGATGAATACATGGAAGCTGCAACTAGTCCATGCAGCAGTATAGGAAGTTTTTGGAGTTTTTTGCTACGCTCATATAATGCTACTGCTTTGCAAGCTGCTCTGGCTTCCAGTAGGCTTCTGAGTGCAATTTAATATGCTGTTGTCATCTATAAAGGTCTACATGGCACAGGGCCTGGCTAGATTTAGGAAAAATACAGCTCTCTTCTATCAAACAATGTCGTTTTTTTGGAGCCTGGACTTGCGTTCTCTCAGTGGCAGTGCCTGCCCATGAACAGCATCTTCTCAGAGAACTGGATGGCCCCGACTCTTTTGGCCTTCCTCAGCCATCTGGACCAGGAGGTTAGATGAGCTCTGTATTGGTGTGGGTTTCTTTTTACTGGGATGCATGGTTTGTCTCAAGTGCCATGGCACTTGAGACAAAGTATTTGTCAAGTATTTTTTGCATACTGCCCACAATCATTGAAGTAAGATGGGTGGGTCATATAGATTACATACATACATAAATACATGCATGCATACATATAGTACATACCTACTTAAAACAGTTGCTTTAGATATATCATCAAAATGATATATAAATGTAGATCTCACTATCATCAAAAACCTCTTATCAAAGGGACAATCAAACTTAGTACTGTAAACATTACAAGCAAGAGAACTAGAATCTCTGGATGGCTTCAGCCTGCACTTTTATAGTGCAGGCTATGATGATCAGAGGAATGCTGTGGACATAATTTACTTGGACTTCAGTAAGGCATTTGATAAAGTAGATCACAACCTACTACTTGACAAGATAGAAAAATGTGGGGTAGACAGAACCACCACCAGATGGATCCGTAGCTGGCTGACCGGCCGTACTCAGCGAGTGGTCCTCAATGGAACTGCATCTATATGGAGGGAAGTGTGTAGTGGGGTGCCCCAGGGCTCTGTTCTGGGCCCAGTACTCTTCAACATCTTCATCAACGATTTGGATGAAGGGATAGATGGGGAACTCATCAAATTTGCAGATGACACCAAGCTGGCAGGAATAGCCAACACTCCAGAAGACAGGCTTCAGACACAGAAGGATCTGGACAGACTTGAACACTGGGCACTAACTAACAAAATGAAATTCAATGGTGAAAAAAGCAAGGTTCTACATTTAGGCAAGAAAAACCAAATGCACAAGTACAGCATAGGTGGCACTATGCTCAATAGCAGTAACTGTGAGAGGGACCTCGGAGTCCTAGTAGACAATCACTTAAATATGAGCCAGCAGTGTGCGGCAGCTGCCAAAAAGGCCAACACAGTGCTAGGCTGCATTAACAGAGGGATAGAATCAAGATCACGTGAAGTATTAATACCACTCTTCAATGCCTTGGTAAGGCCACACTTGGAATACTGCATCCAGTTTTGGTCACCATGATGTAAAAAAGATGTTAAGACTCTAGAAAGAGTACAGAGAAGAGCAACAAAGATGATTAGGGGACTGGAGGCTAAAACATATAAGGAACGTTTGCGAGAATTGGGTATGTCTAGTTTAATGAAGAGAAGGACAAGGGGGGACATGATAGCAGTATTCCAATATCTCAGGGGCTGCCATAAAGAAGAGGGAATTAAGCTATTTTCCAAAGCACCTGAAGGCAGGACAAGAAGCAACGGTTGGAAACTAATCAAGGAGAGAAGCAACCTAGAACTAAGGAGAAACTTCCTGACAGTGAGAACAATTAATCAGTGGAACAGCCTGCCTCCAGAAGCAGTAAATGCTCCAACACTGGAAGTTTTTAAGAAGAGACTGGACAGCCATTTGTCCGAAATGGTTTAGGGTTTCCTGCCCGAGCAGGGGGTTGGACTAGATGACCTCCAAGGTCCCTTCCAACTTTACTACTATTACTAAATTACTAAAAAATTGTCCTAAAATCATGTCTGACTCGATTTGCAATTGCAATGACTTACAATGGAAATTCTGGTCTCAATTGCGGTCAAGAGTTGAGGACTACTTGTATATTCTTCCTAGCATTTCCCCACAACTGCAGGGTCCACTTTTTGGGGGATTAACCAAGTTATCCAAAGATATACATAAAATTTTGGGGTTTGATGAGGTTTGATGAAAAAGCAATAATGGAATTGGGTTAGGAATAATCATATTTACAAGTGATGTACACAAAATTAAAGTGAACTGGCCATCCTTAATCAAATTCTGTAGAGTTGTCTTTATTTACAATGTAAAAAATAATTCTCTGGCTATATTTTCAGGCAGGAGATTAACTTGGGATGTTGAACCTGGTAGCAGAAAGGCAAATTTCTTTGCGGACTTGGCAATATTCTTCTGTGATTTTACACCATAACAAAATGAACATGATAATCTAACATAACCCAATTACCTCAAACAGCAACAGTTGATTAGAAGACAGCAATTAGAGGAATAGATCCCTGAGCAGCCTCTATGAATAGGTATTTTGACTTCATAAAAGAAATCTACTACAGGTTTTTAAAAATTCATTTTGCAATCCAATAGTCCAGTAATGAATGCCGATTCATCTGTATTCACCCTCCTGTATTTCAGCCTTAACACTGAGCACATCTCAGTGTCCTCCCTTTCCATTATTCTCCTTGACATCATAAGTATCTAGACTTTAGCTTAGAAGAGTATCTCTAAGTCAATGAGATGATCATTGAAAGCTCCATCTAGCTATATACTGGTGGTATACGCTGAGAGTAAAAACTTAGTGGAAGCAATTAATTGCCTACAAAATGTCTACACTATTTCAACGATTAGCCGGAGAAGCAACAAAAGTATAAACAGAAGAACAACACATATCTGTGTTAACCACTTCTTCCCTCTTTTCTTGCAAGTCTGAAATCAGTGCAATATTTGACTATTATTAATTTGGCTAAGAATGATAAAATATGAAGGAGAAATAATAAAATAATGCCAGCAAGTAGCATACTTCATCCTCAGAGGAAAAGAGGGTATCAATACAAGAAAATGCAAGTGTTTTACTCTATGTTCAATTTTTGTCAATCTTTTAGTGAACACTAGAGAAAAAAGAAAGTTTAAAAAACTCCCACATTTAAATGGTATGAATAGATTGCCTTGGAATTAAATAGCCTCAATTCATTCATTTATTCAGAAATTTTATATGGCCACTCAACTCACTTTTGGTGATTCTGGGTGGCTTAAAATAAAACCAAAATACAAAACCCAATAATTCCCTACCCACAATCAATATTCAAAACATATATAAATAACATACAAAAAGAGCTAGAACTGAGTGAGAATAATTCAAATTGTGTCAAGGGAACAGAAATGAGGCCCCACTTTAATATGCATGTTCTAATCCCCCATCATTCAAGATTTCATGGCGTTTTATCTGTCAGAGAGAATTCTTTCAGATGTGCATGGATTAACATTAAGTACTGTGAAAAAGAGCACTTTATGAGAAATATTCTGAATGGTTCACTCAGCCACAAAAGTAAGTTCTTATCTGATAATCATACATAGACACAGAATAAATGGGAATCTTTTTTAGGAAAATGATATTGGACATTTGTTGATGAACTTTATTACTGGGAAATATATTCTTTTGAATAAATAAAATACATTTTGTCAGTACTATATATTAATAATATTAGGATCTTGAATAAGAAAAGAGACCATAAATTGGATTTCACTATAGCACCTGCCAAATCCCCAGTGAATCATGACTAAGGAAAAAACAGCAAGGGGATTGAAAGAAATAATAATCCACATTTATTGCTTTATAAATAACTTAAGGCATTGAACATACTAATACTTCCTCCACCTTCTGTTATCCCCAAAACAATAAATTCTATGAGGTGAGTTGGGCTGAGAGAGAGTGACTGGCCTAAAATCATCCAGTCTGCTTTCATGCCTAAGGTAGGACTGGAACTCACACTCTCCTGGTTTCTAGGCCAGTGCCTTAATCACTACACCAAACTGAATTTATTGAGTTTTCATAGAATTAGAATGTATTTATTTAGAAAATTTATATGTCTGCCTGCTCACTAACAGTGACTTTGGGTGGCTTACAAAAAATAAAAAACCCAATATATAACAATAATAATAAACAACATACAACAATAAGAATTCAGAGTTACTAGTTGTATTACTTAACAATCTCATTCAATCTGAAACAAGAGTGCAGCATCTAGCATCTAAGCAAAACAATGTATGACAGTCATAAATATGATTCCCAGTTGATGCAGGTATTGATATATTACATGAACGAATATATATTCCAATATGAATTTTGGATACTGAGGGTGCCTTCACATATTTAGATTAATATGTGGCACATGATTATCTTAGCTGTGTATTCAGTGACAATAGGTGGTAATAAGACAAACATGGTAACTTATCATTCCATAACACAAAATTAATGATTTTAGATATAAAGGTTATCAAATGATAATGGCAATATTTTCTGTGATTTACTCTCAAAAACAGCATAAGCTCTTGATCATTTCCACATTCAGTGCTTCATTAACAAGTACGACACATAGTTCTAAGGAAAATAATTAATTCACTTTCTTTGGTATGGCATAAATTTGACCATGTTATCAGTTCTATTGCACTTCTGCAACCTTACTATCATAAAGGTATTCAACCAGTTTTTGTTATCCAAGTTCTCTTGCACAACTCAGATCAATACTTACAATCCGAGGTTTGAAAGGTGGCTTAATTTTCCTTTGTTCTAGAAGAACCCAGTCAATTTCTTTGAAGAATGGATGCTGTTTAATGGCATCTTCACCGTTCTGAGATGCCACACAGCCCAGACGTTTGTTTGGGTTTTTTGTCATGAACTGCATGAAAAAAAAAAAAAACCTTCAGTTACATAGTGGAAAAATTATATAAGGTGGCAAAATACAGCAAGACAAACTCTAGAAAAAGCAGAGATATCTTACAAAATATTCTATTTGCATTAGTCTTTCTGATGCCTTTCCTAACTCAATATGGTTCTGACCTTTCTGTTATTCTATGGTAACTGCAGTAGTCTTTATTGAGCTAGTGCTAGACCATTTCAAAACATTATATAGTAATAGCTACAACAAATCTTAAATCAGATTACTATGTACTTAAATCCATGTTATGTTTCACTGTGCTTTTTATTGTATTCATATTTATATACAAGGGATAAAATTTTAATGTACAAAGGAGTGAGAAAAAAGAGTGCATATGGCTAATATAATAGTCCAGAATATGATCCAAACACTGTGCAACTTTTGAAGGCGAGAATTGACAAATTCACTAAATATTTCAAAGCTGAATGTCACCATTTTACTACTTTTTATTAATGGGTTCATAGAGAGCATATTGTTTGATCACTGAGAATGCAAACAATTGATAGATCTATAGCATAAACAAAGGAAGAACAGGACCATCCGAATAAAACAAGCAATCTCGTGTATTTTCTTTTAATTGAGATGGTGAAATCCAAGCTGAGCTACTTACAAAACCATGACCTCAAAAACTGGGGCAGAGTATATCTTGGTGTAACAAATGCCATAGATGAAATTGACGGTTCAAGAAGATGGGTATGAAGACTCAAAAACAAAAACCACAGTAGAACAAAAAAAAAAAAAACCAGCAGGTGTTGTAAAGGAAAAAAACCAGGCAATTTTTCAATTAACACAAATACATTTTAATCAGCACAAAATGTGTTTGACCTAAACAGGTTTTGAAACTAAAAAAGCTACTAGGTTAGTGACATCAATAGAAGAAAAGCAGGATTGAACAGCAGACTCCTTAGAGGAATGAACCCTAACTAGAAGCTTGGCTAGCATTCCACATTCCCCTTGAAACAAAGAAATAAACCATCATGGAAGGGCCAGGACACTGAAATGATTATTTTTTTAACATGTGATATGGCTGATAGAACAGACTATGCTTACATTTAGCACTTCTTGTAGGGATAGAGATAAGGCAAAATTCACCTGTGACATGGGAACATAAGGAAGTGCTGGAGATTGGAAGAAATACATATGCAAAGAATCTTGTTCTATCTTAGTATATTGTGCCTTTTAAACATTAAACAAATGTCAAACCGATCCATTTATTAACTATACTGCATATTAAAGAGGTAACTGCAATCCCTGTCTGCTTCCATGTAATCTGGCAAAAAATTATTTACATTAAAAAATATCTTCAAGAAAAAGATGCTATATCTAAACACCTGCCCCTGAATACAGCAGCACCCCTGTGCTATTCATTACATCAGATACATGTTTTTATATGAACATGAAAAAATATGATGGTGCTTTAAAAATGGCACTAAAGTTAAGATTCCTTAAAGCAATAGCCTCCTTTGTTCAGGCTTTATTCAAGCCAGAGAAAAGTCGAGTTGCTTGAATGAATAAGGAAGAGATACTGTGCTTTACAGAATCATGTTCAAAGAGTGCCCTACTCTTCTGAAAATTTCTCGTTAATCAACACATTCTATTCCAGACAAGATTGGAAAAATCTGGAAAGCAATTACAAATCAATATAGAACATATTGCTGAGGGATCTAGAATAGGATGCTTTAAAGCAGGGATGTCAAACTGCCGGCCCGCGCCGGTTTCATCATACTGGAGCCACGCCCACCCCATTGCCAGCAATGGCGAAAAAGCTCCAATACGTCGTGCGACGGCACGTGACATCACGAGTTTGACATGCCTGCTTTAAAGAGTTTCATAAAGCTTGGGAAGGTCAGTTCCTTATTTAAAGTATTCAGTGATAAGAGCAAAACTCTCAAAACATTTTTTCCTTATTTCAGTGATTACCAATTCATTATATACATCACAAATATATGAACTGATGTGGACAATTTTGGGGAGGAGAGGACTGAACTGGATAAAATTTCCAGTCTTTCTTTCCACTTCTGGAAGGTTTTTTGTTCCCCTCCCACTCTAGGCTTTAATACTCTTAATTTTTTTTTAAAAAGAAACTTCCTGCCAATAATTGATGGGAAATTACATTAATGTTTGGTTGTTTGCCAGAAAATTATAGTGGTACAATCTTAGTGGTCTCTAAATGCTGCAAGAAAGGTGATTGGGCAGCTTATGCATGTTACTTGGCAAGGCCTCTCATAAAGCCTGTAATACAGATTTGCTTTAATCAGAGAAGAAGACAACTGAACCTACGTTGTTTGGAATGCAAAGTATATTTTCCACTGCCAAACTAAGGCTCCTTTATTTCTCATTTTGTCTTATTTTCAAGGGAACTAATATTAAGCTTTAAAAAAGTAAAAGTGTTTTTGAATTCCACAAAGTGTAAACATTCTAAAAATTCAGATCTGTAGCTTTCACAAAACCTCAGAAATTAATCCATCGTCCCAGTACTGAATATCAGTTCAGAGAAATTAAACCCCAGGTTTCCCATTGTTGTTTCTGCCACCCTCCCCAAGTTTCAAAACATCTTCAGTTTCAGAGTCTGGATATTTTTTGTTTGGAAACTGTAAATAATTTGCACCATAAATAGTGTAATAAAATAAATAAAATTGAGTAGAAAGCAAAGATCATTCTGCCAAAACTACTCAAAGTACTTTTAAAAATCTTAACAGAATTCCAATTTAAAGTGCCTGAAGAACAAAGCCCTCATCTAACAGTACAATGTAAGGAAACAAAGCGTTCCAAAGCTAATCCCTTGTTAATATTCAGCAGTCAAGCACATAGACGCCCCTCCATTTCCTTTGCTTTTCCTGCTCTTCGGTTAATTCATATTGCTAAAGAACAAGATTAACAACCCAAGTTTCAAACATTAATCTAAGCCTAAAACTCAGCCTAGAGAAATTGTTGTAGGATGCTATTTGCATAACTGGACATGGACTATCAGGGTATAAATATTCAAAGTCCAAACCCTCAGGAAATTGACTGGCTACATTCTTATCCCCAGTATGACTTCCCATTCCACATACAGCCTTTTTTAGCTGCTTTGGGGAGTACTGCCCCTAATAATTTATTTTTCCCAAACAGTTTTCACTAGCTTACTAATCTTCCCCCTATACTCAGTTGTTTTGACAATGTAAGGAACAGCATGTATATATATGGCTGTTACAATATTTTGTTTTGAGCAAAGTACAGTGTTACCTATTTCAGGGAATTAACTGGCAATTAACTTTTGGTTAGGAACTGATCCATTGAACATAATTCCCTTGTAGAACCCGATAAAGATATGAAATGTATTGAAACTAACTTCATCCTTATTTTTCATTCTTCAAGATGAAGAATTTTTTTTGAATGCTAACCAATAAAATTCTAACTGACATTTGCCCAGAAGCTCTGGTGGTCAGAAACACAGAATTATCTCCCAGTGAAATCAGTTGACTGATATCATTTTGTTAAGTGTCTTTTGGATTGGGGCCCATCTGTGTGGGATTTGCATTCTCAGTTGCATAATTCTGTCTTCAGTTTAGCCAACCATACAATTTGAGTATTCAGCTTGACAAGGCATTTCAGTTTGCTTGTGTTTTTGGTTCTTCCTGAAACATGATTCTCAAGTGCAGGCATGTATATAGATATTCAGATGCAAAGAACACAAACATTTTGTCTCTTTCCCACAAGAAGTTTAATTCATCCCAGAACCTTGTATACTGACAATGGCACTCTGAACTGTAGCTGAACTCCCAGAGGTGGCTGTTTCTCAAGTGTTCTAGGAAAACTCAAATTTAAAAAGAAAAATAGATAATCTTACAGCTTTCAAAATGCTGACAGCTTCTTTGCTAAGCCATACTGGATATAGTACATCATCATGGAGGATAGACTCAAAGAGGTCATCTTCATTATCAGCTTCAAAGGGAGGCTGTCCGGCCATCATTTCATACATGAGTACCCCCAGTGCCCACCAGTCTACGGAAGGACCATATTCTAATTCCTGGAGGATCTGTTAGGGGAAATCATGAAAAAGAAAGAGAGAAATGAATGGATAAAAATGCACAATATGAACAATTTACATTGCCTGCTATTTGAAGCAGAAAGAATGCAGAAAAGAGCAACAAAGATGATTAGAGGTCTGGAGGCTAAACCATATGAAGAATGGTTGCGGGAACTAGATATGCCTAGTCTAGTGAAGAGAAGGACCAGGAGTGGCATGATAGTAGTTTTCCAATACTTGAGGGGCTATCATAGAGAACAGAGGGCCAATCTATTCTCCAAAGCACCTGAGGGAAGGTTAAGAAGTAACAGGTGGAAGATTATTAAAGAGAGATCTAATCTAGAATTAAGGAGAAATTTCCTGAAAATTAGAACAACTAATCAGTGGAACCACTTGCTTCCAGAAGTTGTGAGTGTTCTATCACTGGAGGTTTTCAAGAAAAGATTGACCAACCATTTTTCTGGAATGGTATAGGGCCCTGCTCAACCAAGGGGTTGGTCTAAAACAGTGGTTCTTAACCTGGGCGATATTGCCCCCCAGGGGGCGATTTCAGTTTTCAGGGGGGCGATGGAACCAAAAGGGGTGACAGGGGGGCGAAGGAACCAAAAGGGGGCGATATGGGGGCGATGGAGCGAGATGTTTTGGGGACACTTTTGAGACTTTTTCATACAGTGAATGGCTGTATGTCTGTCGTACAAAAACATCAGATCGCTCGCTATTAGTGGATTGAATTGTGTTTTCAAATGTTCTTCTTCTTCAGCACAGAATGCGGTACATATGTGAATACGCATCGCTTATCTTCATGCGCGTTGCGCAGCAGCCTCTACCCATACAGTGACACTCCATTGACCAGAATATGGGAGATATGGGAAAAAGACTGGAAATAAATTATTTGCATTGATATGTCCTGATGACAATTTTAAAGAAAACAAAAAAAGTGTTTGCATAAATTGAAGAATTATTTCCTATGCTGTGATTGAGAGGTTATGTTGGGGGAGGGGGGCGATGACAACTTCCTCATTGGCTCAAGGGGGCGATTCGTTCAAAAAGGTTAAGAACCAATGGTCTAAAAGACCTCCAAGGTACCTTCCTACTCTGTTTTTCCACGATTCTATGAAATTATTTTTTTAAAAAAGCCAGTTTCAAAGAAACATACTTGTACCTTAAATTAAAACCTATACATTCTTTGAAAACGTTTCAGTATGACACATCTGCTGCAGGATTCACTTAGAAAACTGTTAACTTACAGAATTTCATATCAAATGATATGATTAAATCTGATGATGGACATCAGCTAATTCTACTCCAAAGGAAGCTAGCATATTCATGTGAAAAAAAAGGCTGAAAAGTCACTGATACTATTAAATTCCTATCATGGTTGTAAATTTTATGGTTGTTGGCTGCAATATGAAAAAAAAAATATTAGAAAAGATAGGCCTTCATTCTGCTCCAACAGAGTTTTTCCTGTGTTTTATGTGTTTCACAACATGGGATTGTTTTCTGAATGGTACTGGAAAATTTGTATCACAAGCACAAATCTATCCTATTTTCTATTGTGATGTACTACAGTCATCAGCATACTCAATCTTAAATAGGATTACAGAGAAAGAATTTGGTTTCAGTTTTTTTCATGGAGGGATAAGTAAATTAGCATCATAAAAATAGAGTTCTATATACTTCAATGCATACTATTATACCTCTGGAGCTATGTAGTCTGGTGTTCCACAAAAGGTAGTAGTTGTTACTCCACTCAAGATTCCTTCCTTGCACATTCCAAAGTCAGCCAGTTTGCAATGACCTTCTGCATCCAAAAGAATATTATCCAGTTTCAGATCCCTTGAATAAGAAACAACCAGGAAGATCTTAGCAATAAATAAAGGGATGGGGGAGGGAATGAATGTATTCACTGTGAAAAGAAACAGGTTCCTTTGCTATACTCTAATAGAGAGATAAAAGTGTTAAACAGAGAATCTGGAGTACTCTCAAACTATATCCTACTTCACAGTATTTTAAGATAGAACTCCTTTGGAAAAAATGGAATCTATTTATCACAATTGTAATCCCATAGTGTGGACACACAAACACATCAAACTAATTTCATCAGAAAATTGGGGTTTTTAAAAACACTTTGCAGTCAGAATTTTATGAGCTAAAAGCTTCCTGAAATCTGCTTAAAGGAACATCCAAATATTCTGTTAACAGGGAGAGTGCAGTTGTATGCAAAAATGTAGTACACTTTTATCAAATTGCATATTTTAAGGAAACCCCAAGAAAACAAATACTAACACAGTTTCTACAGATTTCTATAAGTTTGAACGTATACTTTCTTTATAGAAGTACAGTTCTTTACAGAACTTAAATAAAATAGTGAATATGGCAGATATCAAATTCTGAATAACCTTTCAGTACTTTGTAAAACCTCCAAACATTTCCTGCAGCACAATAAGAATTTTTCTATTTTTGCTTATCATTGTTTCCCCCCTTCTTCCTTGCAGAATTCTTCTAGCTCAGAAATATTCTTAGGTCTCCTTGCACCCGCTGCACATTCGAGGTCTCAGTGACATTCAGATCTGAGACTATGAAGGCCATTCCAAAACATTTTTTTCTTTCTTGCTATTTTAAGATTGAAATAGTTTTCAAGTTTAATTTCTTCACTGGATTAGGATATTAATTTCAAGGATAAACTAACATTCTTCCCTTCCCCTCACACAGTATTTTCTCTGCCACTGGCTGCCATGCAACTCTAAAATATAATAGAACCATCCCCATGGTTAAAATTAGCAAGGTGCTCTTTTTAAAAATTTCACTTTTTTTTCTTGCCTAGTTGTGATCAAACAGTTCAAATTTTGTTTCACCTGTCCAAAGTACCTAGTCCAAAATGTTTCAAGTTTATCAGTTTTCATTTGCATATTACAGATTATGACTTTTGTGATGAGATCAGAAAAAAAATTCCTTCTGACAACTCTCCCAGATTATTATTATAAACTTTTGAGTATTTCCAGTGAGGTTCTGTTTGTTTTCTTGGGGGTTTGTTTTGCAAATCTAACCACTGTGGGACAGTTCTAGCTAAGGTCTGATTTAAGAAAACTGAAGCTGAATACAGCTGTTGGCTGTTTCATAAGACAATTGTCTGAAACATACTTTTAAAACAACGTACTAACAGGAAAGAAAAATAAAGGTTTTGAAATGGCTTTCATATACATAGGCTTGAATATTACTGAGAATTTATGGGATGTACTGAAACATGCAGTTTGAGGAGGGATGCCTAATTTTGTATACAACTGCATGTCTGTCTCAAACACCTAAAGAATTATTTTTTCCCTTTATTTGGTTCCTGTATACTGATGATAAATACCAGTCTTTAAATCTGTATCCACAAAAATCCATAATGCTGGTAGCTTAGACGAAAGTAAGCTTTTTCAAACATTTCTAACTTGGAAATCAAAAGAGTCAGCCTTAAATAAGCAAAAGCAAATTCTGTCCAGTGACTAATTTCAAATGATAACAAACAATAGTGCAAATACCAAATGTTTAACAATCACTTGAAGTGGTTGGAGCAACTTCTATGTAGGTGCTATAATGTTTCTATTTTTCTTCTTTCTGTCTTTTATAGAATATATTCTCTAATGTTTTAGTAGTCTACTTCTCCATTGAAACTTCAGTGGGTTTAAATAAGGATAAGATGAATTTATCCAATGATAACTTTATTTTTAAAAGGTATTTTACATTAGCTACAAAGGTATCTGACTGTAAACTGTCTTGCTGTAATTACAAAGCAAATAAAATAAAAGAAATGAATAGAAGCAGTGAGGTGTAAGTTAATTATACACTGTGCAAGATAAATAAAAAACCTTAATCCTTTACAGTAAAACAGCTTATTTTTTTATTTGAAAAATGACACGTTATGGAACAATGGTATGAGATTATTAAACTACAATCTGATCAAGTTCAAAGATTGAATGCTTCAAAAGTAAGATTAGACAGGTCTTCAGAGACCATATTTATTTATAGACATTATTGCTGAGTTTACATGCAACTGAGTTGTAAAGTTTAATTTAACTTATCAGACACACCATTGCTTGTTCAGTGCTTATTCAAGTATTTTCAGATAAATGCCAAATGAGTGTATCTTGAAAATAAAACAAATACAAATGTTGAAAAAAAAACATATCTACTAACTGGGTTTCATGAGCAAGATTATCTCAGATCACTTTTTCTAGCTTGCCACTCTCTAGGAGGATATCAAAGGCCATTGTGGCTGGGGATGACAGGAATTGAAACCCAAACACATTTCGAAAACATCAGGTTAGTGGAAGTGGCCTTACACATAAACTAGAGTATCTAGGAATTTTAAACCAATGTTGATTTTACCCCAATTTTTAATGGGAAAATACTGAAAACAAAGCACACACACTTTCCCAATAGTTTCATACTGATATTCTGTTACATGGAAGAACCTCGTGGAATACTATATAGCAGTGGTCAGTGTGTCAAGTAGAATCTATTCAACATTGCCTTCTGAAACTGCCTTTGGGGAAATGCAGCACAATATTATTCAGTTTCTTTTCAGAAGGATGAACTAGATACAGGGGTTCTCAACCTTGGCAACTTTAAGACTTGTGGACTTCAACTCCCAGAATTCCTCAGCCAGCTTTGTTGAAGTCCACAAGTCTTAAAGTTGCCAAGGTTGAGAACCCCTGAACTAGAAGGATACTATGGTTAAGCACTAAGAAATCCAGCCAAACTAACAGAATTACATTCTCCTTGTCTAGTTCCCAGCACAGATCCATCAAGGTGACTAAAGCTGTCTCCTTTTTATAACTGCATGCAAATCAAGACTGAAATGAACAGGGATTCATCTTGATTAATTATCAGTTATCAAGATAAACTCTTAACAATAGGCTCCTTGATAAAGACCTCATCAGAGTTCTTCAGAAAAAAGGTAAAGAGATTAGACAGACAGACAGATATAGAAATAAATATATAACAAAGTGAATAACTTTGAAATTAAGGGAGACTCATTACTAAAACACAAGCTGCACTGGATGGATTTTGACTTTGAAAGTAACCTTTACTTTACTTGAGAGGGACCTCGGAGTCCTAGTCGACAATCACCTAAATATGAGCCAGCAGTGTGCTGCAGCTGCCAAAAAGGCCAACACAGTGCTAGGCTGCATTAACAGAGGGATAGAATCAAGATCACGTGAAGTATTAATACCACTTTACAATGCTTTGGTAAGGCCACACTTGGAATACTGCATCCAGTTGTAAAAAAGATGTTGAGACTCTAGAAAGAGTACAGAGAAGAGCAACAAAGATGATTAGGGGACTGGAGGCTAAAACATATAAGGAACGGTTGCTAGAATTGGGTATGTCTAGTTTAACGAAGAGAAGGACAAGGGGGGGGACATGATAGCAGTATTCCAATATCTCAGGGGCTGCCATAAAGAAGAGGGAATTAAGCTATTTTCCAAAGCACCTGAAGGCAGGACAAGAAGCAACGGGTGGAAACTAATCAAGGAGAGAAGCAACCTAGAACTAAGGAGAAACTTCTGACAGTGAGAACAATTAATCAGTGGAACAGCCTGCCTCCAGAAGCAGTAAATGCTCCAACACTGGAAGTTTTTAAGAAGAGACTGGACAGCCATTTGTCCGAAATGGTGTAGGGTTTCCTGCCTGAGCAGGGGGTTGGACTAGATGACCTCCAAGGTCCCTTCCAACTTTACTACTACTACTATTATTATTATTATCATGTGGAGATGTGAAAGCATTCTATGCCTCCCTATGTCAAATGAATTTAACCAGGTTTGTATTATAAACTTTTAAAACATTTCTAATAAAGAATGCCAATTCTGATATTCAGAATAAATATGGGATTAAAAAGTTCCATTTACTTTATGAATAAATTTTAGAATATTATTGTTATTATTATTATTATTATTATTATTATTATTATTAGTTTATTATAGTGAAAATTTTATTATATTGTATTTATGAATTAGGATTTTAATTTGTTTATATGATCAAGTTTATTTGCAAATTGTTTATTCTGTTTTAAAGGGGAGTTAAAGCACATTATATTTGTTTATATAGTTGGTTAACGTTAGTTAGATTATGATTATGATATTTGTTACCCTGTATTCAGCTCTGGGAAGTGGGGGAGAAGGAGGGGAGGGGGGGTAGGGTGGGTGGGTTTTGGGATATATTTTGTAATTTTTATAAAACTTTTTAATAAAAAAAAGAATGCCAATTCTTAAATAAGATTAAGATTACATATGGATGTGAATCTACAAATTCATAAGCCTGTTTCTGAACCACTGGTATTTAAAAGAGAAGAATCTGAGATATCTTTTTTTTTTTTTTTTGGCATGCAATTGATACTTTTTGCCAAGTGCTCCATTCTCCTAGGAAAACACAGTAAGAAACCAAAAATCTTGCTACAATGAAACACTACAGGTAACCCTCAACTTACAACAGTTCATTTAGTGAACGTTCAAAGTTACCACAGCCCTGAAAAAAGTGATTTATGACCATTTTTCAGTTACAACCTTTGCAGCATCCCCATGATCATATGATCAAAATTCAGAAGCTTGGTAACTGGTTCATACTTATGAACACTGCAGTGTTCCTAGATCATGTGATCACCTTTTGCAATCCTCTGATAAGCAAAGTCAATGGGGAAGCCAGATTCACTTAACAACCAGGTTACTAACTTATCAGCTGCAGTGATTCACTTAATAGCTGTGACAAGAAATGTTGTAAAATGGGACAAAACACACTTAAGAAATGTTTCACTTAATAACAGAAATGTTGGGCTCAATTGTGGTCGAAAGTTA